TTAAGTGTCTATTTACTTGTGACCACTCAGTGTAAGGAAGCTACATGATGGGAAAGTCCTGCCCTTCTGGTGTGGGACCAGTTGAAAGCCATGTGAAAAGACAGAGTGTGGGTATGGACAGATGATGCATGCTGGAATGGGACTGATAAATGAGTGTCAGAGATAACAGAAGAGGAAAGGGAGGTGACACCAAAAGATGGTACAGCAGTGGAAACCATGTTTGAGCCAGTCAATATGGTTCCCCCAACAGAACATGACACGGAGTGGTCTAAATTATGGCAAGGACACATGGGAGGAAATGAATAGGAGGACATGCAGAGAGGTACCAATCTGTTCAATCCTATCTGAGAGTATTGACTACTCCCACAAACAGATGAGGAACAGGAGACCAAAAACTAAGAAATTGTGTATTGAGAAAAGTGGCAAAAGGGTCCAAATCTGGGATACCCCAATGAGCATGTAATTCTTGAAAAATGTGAGGATCTAAAGACCACTCCACCTGAAGAATCTTTCTGGGACAGGATAATTGATCCATGATTAGATTCATGGCACCCAGAATATGACATGTCAACAAAATGATGTGATGGCCATGGGCCAATACAGAAGATCCAATGTTCAAAAACAAACCCTTGCCTAGTGATACACGGTACTATCGTAGAATTGTCAGAGTGGATCATCCCCACCTGGCCCCTGAAGAGCTGCAGACAGTGAAGTAAAGCCCGACAAATAGTAAAAAATTCCAAGATATTGATATGGAGAGAGGACTCAGAAACAGTCCATCACCTGAAACCACCTGAGTGTCGAGATATGCTCCCCAAGTGAAAAGAGAAGCATTTATTAAAAGGTAACAATCCGGATGAGGTGAAGGAAGAGGAACACCCAAGGTAGTATTGTTCCAATCCAATCACCAGTCAAAGTTGTTCTGTAAGTGAGGGGGAAGGGTAAGAGGTGCATCTAAGGGATCCAAAACAAGACTCCACTGGTGAATCAAAACCCACTTGAGATAACAGAAGTGGGTAAGACCAAGAAGAATGAGGGCTTTGAGAGAGAAACACATATCCCCAAGAGAGATAGAACTTCTTGTGCAGTATCAGAAGGAGAGGATGAGATACTAAATACAAGACTTTCCAAATCTCTCAACTGAAATGAAGAAGGTTGGGCCCGACTGAGAAGGGAGTTGATAATCACTTTGTGAGGAACCAAAGATTGTGTAGGTGTGAGGATAGATTTCTCCACTTTGATAAGCCAACCAATTCTGGCAGCTTCCTGGAGAAGAAACTGAGTATGTAAAGCTGAGTCATCATGTGAGGAGGCAAGAAAAGATAGACATCCATATAATGGTGGAAACAAATGCCCCAGGAATAAAGCAGTTGAGCATAAGTCCAGATGACTCGGCAGAACACAAAAGGAGCCAAAACAAGTCCGAACAGAAGTGCTCAAAACTGAAACACACGCCTGTAATGAACAAAGCGAAGAAACTGTTTGGATGCAGGGGAGATGGTAATATGTAGATACACATCTGACACATCGACCTTTGTCATCTATAAACCTGGAGTGAAAAACCTAACGAAGAAGTAAGTACAACTCCATGGTGTACTTGGGAACAACTAGAAAGCAGTTCAAAGACAATAAATTGTTCAGTATGTTGCATGAAATTGGTCAATTCTCGACTGAACAGAGCCATCACTTCATGGGTTGATAATTGTGGTTCCATCCCGGTAGATGTGGTCAGTAAATCTGCTGTAGCATTAATGTCAGTAGTAGTCATGACCACCTGAAATTGTGAGTGCATAATTCATGAAATTGAAAAAGGAAAGAAGATATATAAAATAAATCCTAACTCTCCAAGAAACAAAATGAAAACATACAATAACAAAGTAACTGAAGTAGAAAAATTCACAAAAGTAAAAATGTGTGGATATGTTAACTCTATAGTTATGGTTTGAACCCACTTGTCATACTTCTCGTATGGAGAATGATACCCACAACAATTGGTAAAATTTTGTTAAAGATTAGAAGTATTTTGTGCACAAAATAATTATGTTTTAATTAGTTAATTTAATGAAATATTTGTTACTTTGTATTGTCATTATTTGCATACAGACTCTGAATATTTCAAGTATTATCATTAATGTATTATGCAGTGAATTGTTTAGAGTTAAATATAGAAAAAAATAATATATCTTTTAATTTTTTGTCAAATTATCTTGAAAATCTTCTTAGTTTATATTCTTAATCGTAAATTTTATTTTTTTCACAAAAAGATTATTTTTCACGTTTTATTTTCCTTTCCTATCCTTTAGCATTATTACTTATCACAACACATATCAAGTTGCATTCTCTGGGTATCTTCTGCAGCAAGACTTTAGCCATCATCAAAAACGTTGTAACATTTGCCTACTATACTAAGCCTGATAAAATGAGGCAGTTTGGCTTATATATATTTAAATCATTATTAAACCTATCTAAAATGTGTTAATTAAAACATAATTAACATATCATTAATTAAAATATAAAACTAAAACCTAAATAAAATCTTATTGTCTATCTAACTAACATACTTATAAGTGAGAAACAATGATAAAGCATTAGTGAGGTCACATGCAGCAAGAATGCTAAGAGTGTTTGACAAGTTTTCTATGGAGTTCTTTGTGCCAATTTTAAAATAACTTTTGGGAAATAGTATTTCAAAATGTAACTTTCTATTGATTACAAACATCTAGCTCAGCTAAGTATAATTGACTGAGAAATCACAACTGTATGCGTACAGAGTGGGCACAGCATCTGTCAAGAGTTCCAAGATATTTATTTCAATTTTCTTCCAACAAGAATGTGTAAACAGCGCAATTAATATAGATTATTTTTATATATGGAAGGTTTAGTGTATTCAAGCCTCCTTCTCAACTTAATAAGGTCAAACATTAAACCTTTGTGAAGTAACTAACTGAAGTTGTGTGTCATACTGAGGTTTAAATATTTTTCTTCAAGGTTTCTTTTTAAATAAAGGAATTAAAACTTAGATAATATAAAACTTTGAAATATAATGTAAATTTTAATGCTAATTTCATTGATAGTAAGATGACATAATTAAATTTTGTATGTTACAATATAAAATTTCATGACATGCAAAGTACAAGGGTAAACATAATTGTAGGGTTAATTAAACCACAAACAAATACACATCTAAGCAGTAAGATTGCCAATCGAGAAGTGATTAACATGTGCAAGATTAGAGAGGGTGCTAGTTAAGATCAAAGTAATGTTGCACTTTTATTGGTGGAGGGTTGCTGCATGGTCATTTAAATGTTAGTATGCAGAAATTAGTGGGAGTATCAAGACTATTCGCATGCAAAAATTTGTGCTGATATAGAGCAGTATAAGTTGAGAAAGCTTTTTGTGAGAGGAGGTAAGATATTGTGTCAGAAAACAGTACATGGCTTGCTCCAATTTATACTTAGCATTGTGAACAATGTTCTACACCTAGTTTGTTGCAAAACTTTGTTGATCTTATCCTAAAAACAAAAGTATATTTTTACTATCTATTACTTCTCTAATGGTAGTTTTACTTTACAACCATTTTGAAACTTTGAAAACAACACATCTTAACCCTATCACACAGGGTACCCCTTTACTGCACATGACACAAGGTTTTAATGTCTTACATTCAAAATTTAAAAAACTACTTTTTGTTTACATTATAACCAATTATAATAGCATAAATGTTAGCTAATAATCCATATTTTAATAGTATACAAGTTATAAGTTCTTAATTCTACAAGGAAATATTTTAAAAAATCCTGAATTTCCACTAGTGTGAACCAAGTGACACATTTTGTCTTAGCATGTCATCATCCTTATTTTATCCATCACCCTCGAAAATGTACGAAATTAAACGTAAAATACTCTCTATAAAATTGTTATTGCTCAAACAGACCATAACTTTTATAGCCTTCAATTTTATTTGATTACAGAGCTATTGAATAGAAAATCACACCCCTCCTGCCACACCCACCTATCTCATCCTCTCTTTAACAATTTGTTGGTAGTTCTCTCTTACCTTTCATTATATATTACCTATAACCAATAAAAAGTCAAGGTTTCCATCTATCATATGACATATTGTATTATATTGTATTCTGAACAGAATATCATCAATTTCACTCACAGTACAAGATTTGTTCCAGTGGGAAAGTTAATGACTAGCTCGGATGAATTTGTAACGGCTATTGTCGCTTAGTTAGAAAGCCAGGAAAATTTTGAGAGGTTAGTGAATTTATCTACTTTTTGCATGTTATTA